TGTGAAGTTTTTCGGGTACGACAGCTCCACAAACTCACCTTCGCGGTTGAGCTTTTTTTTTCGGGTCAACTGTAAAAAATATAACAGTAAAAAAATCGCACGAAATGGGAAACGGGAAGGGGCTCATCAGAGGAAGTTGCAGGTTTTGCCCGCGGCAGCTCCGCCAGGCTTTGCCCGCGGTTTTCAGCTCATCCGCCGTTTGTTTTACTCCGATATGGATACATGGGTGCTCAAAATCAAATTCCAAATGGGTAGGAGAATTTTTATCTTTTTTTGTAGTCAAAGGTGGCTCCAATGCGGCGATGGGCGACGATCAGCTCTTTTTTCTGGCGACTGGTTCTTCTTCTTCGACGGAAGACTGGCACCTAGGGTTCAGGTTCACTGTGATGCAAAATATTTATACCCATTTCATGTTAATCTGAACTGTCTATTGCGTTTGATCTCGATCGTTCGATCGCGCCTAAAGAAAAAACGATTCTAGGCCGTTCATTGCGTTTGATCTCGACCATCCGATCTCGCCTAAGGAGAAAATAAATTTAGGTCATTCATCACGTTTGATCTCGACCGTAAGGAGGGAAGGGATGTGGACTGTCCACGCACGCGAGATCGCTTCTGGGTCGTCTGATCACAGGGCACGCGGATCACCAGCGTGGCCTCTCACGTGGCGCACTCCGATTCATCGAGGCTGCTAATTGGGCAGTCCTACGTGGCCAAAATTTTCTTATTTGCATTCTGACCTCCAGTTTCCGATTTTTCTTTTGAAAACACCATCCGAACCAAAATTTTCACCATTTTTTTCTAAAATTGTTTTCAATTTCATCTCTACCCTATTTTTTTTTTTCATAATTCTACATTAAATTAAAATTTATTAATTTCAAAATTAGATTCTTATACATTTTTAGAATGTTAAAATTAATCCATGTCCAAATTCTATACCCGGGTATTAGAGATGAAGCGAATCTAATGGTGATAATAATTAGTATAAATAAATTAGTAAATGAAAATAATGGATAAATTGAAATTTAGGTAAAGTTGGGTAAGTGATACAAATTAAATATTTTTAGAATAATTATTGGATGGAATGAAAAAAAAATAAAACATAATAATCTGGAAATTTGGTAATGAGTACGACGACTTAATGAGTAGAGGATATTGCATGTGGGTAGGACACTTGTGAGTTGATATTTTAAACTGCATGAGGAATAAAGTAATGGCTTACTAATTGATTAATTTTGGACTAGGTAATGTAGTGAATAAGATAGGCTAGCAAGAGATAAATGATTAATTGAGTAATTTGGTATACTTAAGATATATAAAGCATGGGAAAACAATATAATTAAGTAACGAAAGATAGAAATGCAAGTTAAAATTCATAGGAAAAATAGTAAAAAGGGAGGGAATTAAGAACAATCAAGAAGAGAATTGTGCATTGAAATTAGATGAATTAAAGACGACGGAAAGAAAATTTTAAAATTGGGAGTGTTTATAAAACTATAAGTGATAAAGTATAAGTGAAGATAACATAAAAATTGTAATCTAAAATTTAAATTTAAATGATCATTTAAAACTTAAGTGGAGAGTAATTGAGAATTGTTTGGGTTAATGGAGTTAACATCTCAGGGATTTGCTGAATTAGTCAAATAAACAATTGGTAATTGAGTGTATTAAATTGGATAGGTGAATTCCAAATAATAGATTAGAATGGGTTAGGCTAGAGGAAATGATATAACTATTCGTTTAAGTAATTATGAAATTAAAATGAAAATAAGACAATAGGTATAATATAAGCAGAAAATGCATATGGATTGGGGATCAAACCTTAGGGGAAAGTGTAGTTTGTAAAAAAGATCAAAATCCATATTTGTTTAGTCATAAATCAAGAAGGAAAATGTGCGTGTGTGACTGAGATTCAATGGGATCCGTGGTGAACCCCACTCATGGATGGATGATCTGGAACCTATCAAGATGTGGATAGGTATATGTGCATTTTGACCTGATCTGGGTCACCAAGCGATTTACTACTGTGACCAATCCGATATGATTTTTTAGCTGTCGAGAACCATATGCTATAACATTTTTATATTGCATCAGTACACAGCCCAGACCTTGGTGAGATGCGTCATTATACACTGCATATCGTTCGGTACCACTAGGAATGGTGAGTATTGGGGCAATAATGGGTTGACACTTGAGTTCGACAAAACCTTTCTCGCAATTACTAACCCACACAAACTTCACACTATTCTTTGTCAACTTAGCGAATGGTGCTGCAATATTTGAGAATCTTTTTACAATCCTGCAGTAGTACCCAACGAGTCCTAGGAAACTTCAGATCTCAGTCACCTTAATGGGGTAATTAGAATTTCGAAGAAACAGTGATTTCATATTTTTGAATACATGCATGTATATATCCTTTAAGTTTTTGAGTGAGTATATATCCTTTAAAATAGGCTACATATAGATAAAAAATAATATTATATATATGTATTAACTTAAATTGAGAAAGAAAACATGTACACAAAATTGTAGAATAATATAGACCAAATTTACTTGATGATGTACCTTAACGCGTGCATTTAATTATTAATTAAATGTAGAAATGATTAATATAGGTTGATGATTTATGGTTTAACATAGTGAGTGTATGTTACAATTATATACATAAAAGATTTGTATAGTAATTACAAAATAAATATTAAAGTAAAATTTAAATATTTGAATTACTGTATCATAAGGTTTTACCCTAACTCTTCGAATATTACTATGAGATAAAATTTCTATATTACTCCATTTTAAAATTACAATAACTTTTTTTCTTTGAGTATGGGATTAGCACTTTTTGAAAAGTTATTTTAATTTAACCATTAATTATAGGTATAATATTTTATTATTGATATTTTTTGCTCACTTGAAGTTATACATCATAAAAAGTTATAGCAATCATATACTTTTATATTTGTCAATTATATTTATATAAAATTTGTCGATCAATCACTTATGTTCATGTAATGGAATAGAAGTGCGACTATAATTATTTTATATTAGCCTAATTTTTTAAATAATTAAATTTATACTTCATAATTTTAACGAGGTGAAGTCCATATTTAATTTTTGGTTAAAACTATTTTTGTTTAAATTTTAATTATAGTTGTTATTATTATCACAAAGTGTCTTTGTGTAACAACCCATACTCTAGATGGAGTTACGAGCATCCTTACACAAGTATAGGTATCATATCATATTAATATAGAACACAAAAATTTATAAAATTGCTTACAACTTTATCCTTGCACTTTAAATGGAGTTCTTAAAGGAAACATTAACAAACCACGTAGTGAGTCACTAGTCTCGAGAAATTAAATAGTAGTTTAAAGTTCGAAAAATTAAATTGACATTAATAGA